TTTTCCAAGCGGCAACTGGATTTGGGGGGTTTTTTCTTTGAAGACGTTTCGCTTCTTATTTAAGAAGCTTCTTCAGCTCTTCCGAAGGTTCGTGGCTGACAAGCGAAACGTCTTCAAAGAAAAAAACCCCAAAATCCAGTTGCCGCTTGGAAAAAAAACACCTTTGGGACAGACGCTGATAATGTTACGTAGGTTGGTCACGAAACGTCTTCAAGAAAACCACCAAGGCTCAAGACAGCACCATAGGACACCCCCCCCCCCCCCCACTCCTCCCTCGGACCTGCAACCCGAGAAAAAGCGGCGGGAACCCAAAACAACCTGAGCGAAGAGTAAACGGCGAGTAAAGGCGAATCGCGGCTCAGCTCCTCCCGAGGCGCAACCGCTGCACTGCGCGCCGCCGCCGCCGCTCCTTTCAGGATGGGCGGGCGGAGAAGAGAGGAAGCGAGAGGCCTGGCAACATTGTCTCCTCCCCTCGCCTGGCACGCCCCGCGCTGAGACCAGCGGAAGCAGCTGCGGTGGAGCCGAGTGTGCTGGGTCGAGCAGCGGGAAGGGCTGGCCCGGCCGGAGGGGGTAAGAGCGCGGGGACGGTGATCGAACGGCTTGGAGGCACCGAGGCGGCCGTTCCCTCTTGGGGAGGGAGTGGGGGGGGGACGGACGTTAAAGTGATCCTGAAGGTCTTTTGCCTTTCTTTGACTCGCGGTCTCTCCTCCCCTCCCTCGCCAAGCTGCATGTCCTCCGCAGGGGGATCCTGTTTGCAAAAATAAAATAAAATAAAATGCGTGCCTACGCGACTCGGGGACATGTGCGCAAGGAAGGGGGTTGCTCCTTGGCTTGCAGAGGCTGAATTTTGAAAGGGACGATAGCCGGGGACTTCGCCTTGGAGCGCAATTTCAGTGCGGGGCGCAGCAGTCTTTCTTGTTAACAACCTCCCCCCCCCCCTCCAGAGACAAACAGACACACATACACAAAGACACACACACACACACAGAGACAGACAGACACACACTGCATCTCATCTCTGAGCCATGGGCAGAGTGCCTTTCCTTTACAAGGGGCAGGATGGTATAAAAAAAATGAAATGAAATAAAATAAATCTCTTACCAGAAGCTCCTCAGGATTTGGAGAAGACCAGAGGAGGGTAAGATTTCCAGGCAGGGTTTTTGTCGCCTTGGAGACAGTGAAAGTGGGGGGGGGGGATTCTAAGAATAAATAAATTCCCTAGAATTTATCAAGGCAGGTGGGTATACAAGGGTATAAATAGAGCTTTTTAATTATTATTATTATGATCTGAAATGGATGTGATGTCTCTACTTCTTGCAGAAAAGAGGAAATTGGGAGGAGGGAGGCAAGAAAGGGGATTCAGTGCTTTTTATGCCACTTTCCTTTGCTTTACAGTGATTTCTTCCTTTTTTGTATTATTACAGATCGACTTGACGGAACATCTGAAAATTGGGTTCTTGGAGTCCTA